AGCAGAACTCTGGCCCTGCACACCGTCTGGTTCTTGCTCTCCTGTAACAAACACGACACATGGGGCAGGGGTTATAGCTGGAAACCTCTCAGACTGTTCAACCATACATTGATATGGATGAAAAAGGCTGAATCCTAACCCAATGCAGCAGCCAGCGGCACACAATAATTGCAGGTGCTTGGGGTAGGTTTGGCTAGCTCACACTGGACTGGTCTTTAGTCTTAAGAGTCCTGTTCAGCATTTGAACCCTGATTCACAGACCACACAGCTTTTTCTTTTATTGTAGAGGTTTTTCTTTTCAGCATGCCAAGAGAAATGGAGCGCTCCCAGCAGGAATACGCAGCTCCCCTAGTGCTCTCTCTTGAATCCAGCTACCCATGTTCTCTCAGAAACTGAACAGGTATTTCAAAAACAAGAGGCTGCAAATACTAGGGATCAGGGACAAACACCACCACTGAGAGACTTTTGCTAGTGCATTGGGACTGCATCATCTCCAGAGAAGCAATACACCAAATGTCATACCAATTGTGACATAGGTTTTCTTTCATCTCTGCAAACAAATAATCAACTGCTTCCATTATCCACAAGTGCACAACAAAGCATTATGTACTGGCTTTGGTTTTTAAGCAAACATGTTTTGTACAGCCCTTGCTTGACTAACCATGTTACTTTAAGAAGCTCAAGAGCAAGATTCAGTTGTGCAACTCTCTCAGACACAAACCTTATTTAGGCTTTGCCCTTCAGTTGTCTTACAACAAGAATTTCCACAATTGCTTCCTTACTTGTGTTTTTGTGTGGGCACACGAGCATCTACGTGATGATAGGTATGTTGCATCACTGCAAAAAGTGGTGCAATTTTACCCAAGGTCTGCTTTCCTCATAAGAGTGATGTATGTATGAAGGGCTGCCCTGAAAATTGCAACTGTAGCACAGAACAGGCTATGACAGTCTAATACTAGAATTACTGATTCCTTTCAATCACAAACAGGTGTTAGAGAGGTGTTTGACAAACAGGCTATAAAAACCTCTGTGGTAGGCAAGTCATTTGCACACTACCTTGACTCCTCAAAAAGACAACACAGTCCTGAATCACAATAGAAACAGCTGAAAAGGCAGGCACTGTAGCTCTTCCAAGTGAGAAGTGACCTATCAGCAGGAGAGGAACCCAAATGAGCAGCCTCTGCTTTCTGTTAACCTTTGCTCTAATTGCAAGTGCAGAACATCTCTGCTACATACTTTGTTTTACATAATAAAGGCTGTAACACTGGACAAATTTATCTTGTGACTTAATTGCTTTGACTGAACCTCATCAAGTTCACATACGCAGCTGAGTGATTCTAATACAACCTTATTATTACAGTCTCAGGATCTCAACTGGGATGATGAAATTGCTGGTACAAAAGCTTTGGTCAACCTCCGCAAGTTAAAGCTAGGATCGCTAACAGGAGAAAAAGTATTCAAGCAAGACACCACAAATCATATTTTATTGGTAGGGGATTTGGGGGAAAGATGTAGGCAGTCTGACTAGAAGCATCCATATTAAAAATTGCTATAGATATTGCACCAAGTAGAAAGAATACATATTTTGTCCCTCTGGAACAGGCAGAACAGATTTCATTTTCACAATGCATATTTTCATGAAAACATTTTCAGTATTAGGTACTTTCCAATGGAAAAATTCCATCAAAGCTGCTGAAAGGGGAAGGGATCACAAATGAAGTATAACAAGTAAGTGGGATAGTGCTGAAACAAAAGGCAGTTCTAGCATATGACCAAGTCAATCATATGCTTTACCCAATGTACCTTGGTCTTGAAATGCAAGAATCACAGATCATTTGGGTTGGGAAAGAGCTCTAAGACCAAGTCTAGCCTTTAACCCAGCACTGCCAAGTCCACCATATCCTTAAATGCCACATCTCTACATCTATTAAATACCCCCAGGGATGAGGAAATGGTGGAGTCACTGAGTAGCCTGTTCCACTGCTTGACAACCCTTCCTGTGAAGTTTTTCCTAATATTCAATCTCAGCCTCAACAAGAGGCCAATTCCTCTTGTTTCATCACTTGTTACCTGGAAGAAGAGATCAATCCTCACCTGGCTACAACTTTCTTTGAGGTAGCTGTAGAGAATGAGAAGGTTCCTCTGAGCCTTCTTTTCTCAAGGCTAAACAACCCCAGGTCCCTCAGCTGCTCCTTTTAAGACTCGTGCTCTAACAAACTGCCTCAAAACTTGTACTTTACGTAAGAAAAGTTCTAGCAGATTGATAAAATGATAAAATATAGTCACAAAAATAAAACCTTCTGGTTTAATTTTTTTTTGTTAATCCAATTAGCTAGAATTTCTAAACACACTGACATTCAAGTCCCACAGACCTTACATTGCCCTTTTCTGTAACAAGAGAAAGAACAGAGATAAGCTGTCAGACCATGTTTCAGATCCTCATCCTGCTTTTGGCAAACCATAAATTCACACTATGCGACCAAAACAGCTGAACTTCTAGCCAATACAAATATTTATCAGCATAGCAGAGGAGCAAAAAACTGAGGCATCAGTACAAATTTTCTGTAAACCATGATAAACAACTACAGAGAGCTACAGCTTTTGAATACACAGAGACATACTGAACAGAGTCCTTCCTCTCACTGTTTACTATTAAAAGCATATTTGCTTTTTCATAAAAGGCAAAAAAAAAAAGAAAAGATGATGCATTAAAAACTAAAGTGCTGCAACCAGCTCTTTTTTACTGGCTGGTTGTTCCATTAGTGACTCTTTTTAGCAAATATCCCTGAAGATACAAGATATTAATTCAACATAAACCATACAAGTATTTAAATACTAAATAGATAGTGCTCTTGGAATCCTGTACTTTTTTTTCCACTAAACCAGGTTTTGATAGCTGGATGATTTAGACAGCAAGATGTAAAAAACTGCTACATGGCTGTGACAAGTTTTAGAAACATTCTGATATATAAGACTAGGTTTTTAAAATTCTTTTCAGATTATGCTTTAAGTGTTCCCACTGAATTTTTATTGCCCACTAACTCAATTTTAGTATTGAGGAGTTTATCATCTTCATCATCCTCTCCCTCCTCAGGGAACATCATGACTTAGTCTTCATCAAAATAGATAGGATCAAAATGTCAAAAACAACATGGAATGCCTCAAACTTCCTGTAAAACGTGAAAGAAATAAACAATTTGAGAATCAAGTAATGACACTGGCATTAAGGAATGCATAATTCCTATGTTCTCCCAAAGATGTACTCTTTTTTTGTATTGGCTGAGAGCAGGATCAGTCCCCTCAGTCAGCATTATAAGGAGAAACCTGCAGTCCAAGGGCTTAGCTGTAGGTAAGTCAGCATCACTGCAGGACTGCCAGTTCCTCCCCTCTCCTTCCTTTGACTACTTCAGTCAATAACAATAGAATTTTTTGTTACACTTATTTACACTACTGAATAAATCCTTCAAGATCACCAAGGCTTCAGTGTAGTAAGTACTGTACACATGCAGCAGGAAGGAGTGGAGGAAGAAACAAATGTTAAGCAGAAGTTTGGGTGATAGTTCACTTCCCATTTTCTGAATATACTTCTTTAAAACTGATGTCTGAAATTGTGAAAGTAAATTTCAGACACAACTTTGATTACTACAGCACTGTAAGTCAACAGCAAAGAAGGAATCTTGAGCTTTAGACAAGTCTTATTGCACTACCATACTGGAAAACTCAGCATCTGGCAAAATTATATTAACAACTGCCTTTGAAGAATATCACCCAATCTGAAGTGCAAACAGATCAGAAGACATTTGGCAAAGGTTTGATTTCCATTTATTTTCAAAATATATTAGCAGCAGTTTGTGGATTTTGTGGAAAGGTTTTTGGGGCTGTTCACTTGTTTGGTTTTTAATTATTCTAATTTGGTTGTTTGCTTTTTTGGTTGTTTTTTTGAGGCTTTTTTGTTTGTTTGGGGGTTTTTTTTTAAGTTTTAGGGATTTTTTCCTCAGCCGTTCTAAATTATTTAAAGAATTCTAAAAGCTTTTTATTATCACAATCATGCAAAGGACACAGATGTGCCCGAAACTAGAAAGTCTGTATGCTTGGGATCCCATCACGTTCTTGAAACCATTCTGGAGTTCTTCATGAGTAAAATCTTGGGAGGGGTATGAGAACTGACATTAGTAAGACAAGCAGCACTAAAAGATTCTATAATTTTGGAACATAAAATCATCTATAATGTTATCAATAGAAAAAGGAAGACCTTTGATTTTTTAAAGCAGCATAGTAAGAAAATTCTGTACAAATCTCATTATCTTTTATAAAGTAAGTTAGAAAACATTACACCATTGTTAATAGTGCCAGACTGGCCTAAGTATCCTAAGTAAAGAGTGCCTTCCAAAACCAGAGTTAAGTGAGAAGACACATATTGCATATTGAGACAGCTATCAATTTTAAGAGGTAGATGACAATATTAACCTATTAATCTAACTCCTTGGTATGCATCATCAATTCTCTTGGACATGCAGGTGAGGGGGAAGAAAGGATCAGAAAAGCAAGGAACAGGAGGAAAAAAAAAAAAGACATCAGCCTTGTTGATGTATGCAGGCAAACACCAGGCAGAACACACACCATCCAGACTGCAGTGAGGGTGACTGAGCTCACAGCACAATCCTCAGGACAGTGTGGCTAGGTTGAGTGGAAACAGTAGAAGCTGCACAGGCAGAAAAAGGAAGTAACACAAGTCCTGCACAGTACTTTCCATGATGCCAATTCAAACTCATTGCCTAATGTATTTATGAAGGTGCTTCAGTGCTGGAAAAGTATTCCTGTTCCTATTCACCATGTCCATCGGATGCCGGGTTTTCATTAGAAGGAAAAGCAGTAATAGCAGCACAGATGGAAAGGCTTTGTCACAGTGATCGTCAGAGTATGTTGTTAACCTGCCAACACGTGTAAAATCTTAGCATTGCTAAAAGCATCCATTTCAGACACAATGTTAAAAGCATTGCTCAGTACAAAAATGGGATCACAATTTTTCTACACTTCGGGTAGTCTTCAAATTTCTCAAGGTACCATCTGAAAAACAAAGGCAAAAATCTGATGAGTACTGAGTCTTCACAATGCTGTTGAGGAAATTTAGTATTTATACAATGTGTTCCATTTAATCCATACATTTTTTGTCTAAAAAGAAAAAAATTGGCTTTAGAACCTACTCTGAACAGGAAAGTGGCATTTGCTGCACTCCTAATTGCACCTAATCACCAACTGCAACAAAACTTAAGTTACTGCTACCAGAACTGGGAAATCAAACCAACAGATGTGGTGAGAGCAGTAAAGGAAGGAATAACCTGTTCTTTCAAAATGTATGTTGTTAAACATCCTGAGCATTTGCATTTAGGAGTAAATGGGGGAAAAATAAACCAAAAACATGTCATTTTATAATGACTTCACATGGAAGCAAGGGATACTTCCCAGACTGGAATGGAGAGTCCCAGTCTGGAGAGAAACATCTTCAGTTCCAGTGAGAATTTGGATAATCAAACTGAATGGAACAAATATTACACTAGCTTTACTGCTAATACCCCACAAACACCATGACTGTTTTCAAATCCAGACACTTAAAAAAGAACAAATGCATAGCACTATCAAATATTATTTATCTTGTCACCTTAAACAAATATATTTACTCCCATTTTCAAATATTTATACTTCTGCTTCTCTGAGATAAGAGAATTAACTTAATCTGGGCTCCTCAAATATGAAGATATTCATATTATCAACAGATAACTGCAAGATCAATGTTGGAATAAACAGAACAAAATATCCAATGCATGACAACCTGCAGCTCTGGAATAACCATCATTACACTATTTAACCATTTCCATTTTTATGGATTTTTCTTTTAGTGCAAATTACTTCCTTTAACCGCATTTAGCTTTTCCTAATGTTCTGAAAGAGTACCTTCAAAGTTTAAGACTGACGCAAACTAACCATGGAATTTGAGCCTGAAGAACATAATACAGAAGGAGAGGCTGAGGAGGCTGGCATCACTTAGTCTGGCAAGAAGACGACTAAGGGGCCCTGTTACTTCTGCCTGCAGGTGCTGGAACAGGAGCTATTTAAGACAGTGGAGCAAAGCTGTGACTGAAATGCAAACTCCTGCAGCTGGAATGCAATGGTCCCATGCAAAAGGGCAGGGCAGAGACCATCTGGCTAGACAGCAGTTCTGCACAAAAGGAAATGGACATCCGGGTGGACAAGTTGAGCATGAGTCAGTAATGGGTCTCTGCAATGATGAATGCCAACTGCATACTGATGTGCTTTAACAAGTACAGAGCCACGAAGTCAAAGGAAGGGCTCATTCTCTCCACCATTTAGCAGATGAGAGGCTGCATCTGCATTACTGCCTCCAGTTTTTGGCTTCCTGTGCAACAGAGGTGTTCACAAACTACAGAAGAATCCAGCAGATGGTCATTAAGACAACTGCATAGCTGGAACATATAAGGGAAGACATTGGGGGAACTAGGCATGTTCAGCCTGGAAAGGAAGTGAAGAGACAGATCTAATTGCAGTCTTCCATCACCTACAGTGATTTAGAGAGAAGGCAGAGCCATACCCTTCCTGGAGGCACACCATGAGTGTCAGGAGATAAAAGTTGCAACATGTTGGAATACTCCAACTAGTTGTAAGGAGAAAACCATCTTCCCCATGAGAATGAGGAAAATCCTGTTCCAGTGCTTTGCTAGAGATGTGCTAAAGCCTCCACCCTTGGAGACACGCAGAACTCAATTGGATGAGGCCCTGGGCAACTGGGTATAGCCTTGTGGTTAGCCCGGGTTGGAGCAGGTCACACCAGTTGACTGGACGACCTTCAGATGCTCCTCCCAACCCAAGATACTCTGCAACCCTGCTAACAGGAGGTGATAAAACAAGAGATGGTTATAGGCGACATACTTGAAAGGTTCAGATTGGATAGTAGAAAACACTTGTTCACTGGCAGACCCGGAACATCCTACAAACAAGGTACAAGAAAACCTCTGTTTCTGGAGGTTTCCAAGACTCCTCTAGACATAGCCATGTCAGCAATGGCATTTTTTTCAACCTGTTTCCTCCATAAATTCATATTTATTTCCTCTTATGCCACCACTAAGTTTCAGGATAAGAACCAAAGCAAGAAGCTGGAAAGGACCAAAATAATATTAACGTGTTCAAACTCTTTTGAAGATGCTATTCCTTAAAGAGAATCCTTTCAAGAAACAAGTCTCCTCAAACTATGGTCCTTCTGTTAGCAGGAAAGCCACATTATTAATACAGTACATTAGCAGTCAAGCTGTTTAATCAGAGCAGAGACTTCATTAAATATCATCTACCAGAACTGTTTTCATATTGTCCATACACTCGATCATAGACAATATAATATAGACTTGACCATAATGTGCACCTGTTACGGAATATTTGAGAATTATTTCTTTAATATCAAAATTTTGAAAATCAGTTTGAGCAGCAATGGCTACTATAGTATATGATCAATTAAGGCAATATTGCCAAACTTGTCTATGATCTTTATAGATCCAGGATGAACTGTCTTCATTTAAACATGATTTTGAGCACCTCATTGTACATAGTGTGTGTTTTTGCTCCACACCATCCCACTGAAATTCTGCAGTACTTAATCTTTTCAGAGTATTCTCTATCATACTTTACCCTACAGCAGAAGTCTCTTTCACAAGACTTGCCCTGCAACATCCCTGTGGGATGAGGCATAATTTGTGAAATGGAAATGCAGTGTGGCATAGAGACAACAGAAATTATAAAGACACAAACACTTACTTGTGGTGTTGTTTGGCCCTTGAACCCAAGATGAAAAGAGTACACAATGCAAATGCAAGGCTTTGAATGGTGCAGCAGGCAAGGGCAAACCCAAACCATTCCAGGATTTCTCCAAAGAAGTTGGCTCCACTGACATACTCAAACATTCCTCCTGGAAGGACAGTTATTTCAAAAGCACCTTAACCAAATGTCCAATGCTGTGTTTTACTCTAAGTCAAATAAGAACTTTATCACCAGTGTCTCTAAATATAAATTTTTAAAGGTAGTGTTTTTCAGCTCAAGCTGAAATGAAGGATCACTATGAAGGATCCTACCCTATGAAGGATCACATCAGACCTCATTCTAAGACAGATCCTCTCTACCTCCATTTCTCCTCTTTAAATAATGAAAGACAGACAGATTTACTAGTAGCAAAAGCAAGTATGTGGCTTCCTAAATAATTATTCATGATATCAAACTGGCTCTTTGATCATAAACTAAATCAGTTTTAAAATATATAAAAAGAGAAGACATGTTCCCCTTGAGACCCAGAAAATACTCATAGGGTTAATTAGCCTATAATGTTTCATTTCTTTAAGAACTTTAGAACTTAAGTGAGTTATGAACATTATTATTATGAAGTAAAATCCCAAATTTATTCTCTAGCTTAAAATGTGTTGCTGTTTTTTTCCTATGCCTTGTCAGATCTACTGTTTCAGCCCTGAAACTCAGTGAAAAAAGTAATTGGCAATCTTCATTAAATCTGTTATACAGACAGTTACACAAACAACTGGTACTCACCTGTTGGGAATTTTATAAGATAAGAACTTTCACCCTAATTCCAAAGTCAGTGTACATATTGATAATATCTCAGTATGTGCTTTACCAATGGGACTAAACAAACAAGTATTTGGCAAGTGTAATAAAGAACATGTTTTGACCTTGCTTTAATTACTCTACTCTTGTGACAAAAGAGAAGCAAAACGCCAGCACTTAAACTGAATAAGCAATCAGCTCCTCCAGATCTTGCAACAAATAACATCTTTTTTCCTTCAGAATTTTTGTACACTGTTCACATTTATTTCTCACATGAGCACTTTGATTTACATCTACTATAATTCTAAGTTACCTTCTCAGTGAAAAATAAGTCTACTGCCTCACATATCTAGTTCTTCCAGTTTTATTTAAAAAAAAAAAATCTGAAAACTGAGAAAAGGCAACAACTACAGGAAAAACAGAGAAACAGCAGAATTCACTACTGGTTTTATGCTCTCAATGAGCATAAAAATAAATAATAGAAACTATTATTGAAATTTCAGTATTATTTTTCTGCTGTCAATGACTTATGTACCTGAAAGAGTCTAATGTTTCCTAAAGTGTCAATAGACTTGAATAGACTCCATAAGAAATCCTTTCAGATTCTCCATTTTCCCATGAAGGGTAGAATTTGTAATGCCTAACTTCCTTTGGGATTTCTGTCCTGTTTTCCCTGTACAGTTCTTTCCTTTCTGCAGTAGTTGCTGCTCACCGATTGCCTAAGGTACTTCCCTCTTCATACATGGGACAACAGAGATGGGCCACGACTAAGTACTTTCTGCATTCACAGAATATTTGGAGTTGGAAGGGACCCACAAGAATCACTGAAGTCCAACTCCTGGCCCTGCACAGGACAGCCCGAAGAATCACACCATGTGCCTGAGAGCATTGTCTAAATGCTTCTTGAACTCTGTCAGGCTTGGTGCTGTGACCACTTCCCTGAGGAGCCTGTTCTAGTGCCCAACCACTCTCTGGGTGAAGAAACATTTTCTAACATTCAGCCTAAACCTTCCCTGGCACAACTTCAGACCATTCCCTTGGGTCCAGTCATTGATTGCCAGAATGATCAGTGCCTGCCCCACCACTTCCTTTCATGAGGAAGTTGTAGACTGCTATGAGGTGTCTCCTCAGTTTCTTCTCCAGGCTAAACAGACCAGATTACCTCAGCCACTCCTTGTATGCCTTCCCTTCAAGGCCCTTCACCATCTTCATTGCCCTCCTTTAGACCCCAAAAGCTTTTATATCTTCTTATGTTGTGGTGCCCAAAACTGTACAAAATATTCAAGTTGAGGCCACACCAGTGCAGAGCAGAGCAAGACAATCACCGGCTGGCAATGCCTTGCCTGGTGCACCCCACTACATGGTTGGCCCTCCTGGCTGCCAGGGCACCTTGTTGACCCATACTCAGCTTGCCATCAATGAGGCCCCTAAGCCCCTTTCTGTGGCACTACTTTCCAAGCATCTCATTCCTCCAGCTCCCACACTGGGATGACAATTTAAGTCTTCTTTCTGCATCCTCCTGCTGATTCTCAGAAAAGTTATGAAATGCTGTTACATTTTCACCCCTCTGTTAAAATACAGCAAAGCTGGTCAAAAAAAACAAGGACTTGTGTAAGCCAAGTGATATCATAAAACAGATTCCTTACAATACATGGCTTAAGAGTAAAAAAAATAAAGTATTTCCTAAACTATGAAATAACTTCTTGAGGTAGACCACAAAGTGCTATTTCCATTTTTCTCTTATATCGTAAATTGTATCTCCCTTAAATTCACCAGGCTTTAGAAGGCCATTTTCACATAGAATCATTTTAGGTTGGGAGGGACCTCTTGAGCTCATCTTGCTCAGTCCCCACTGCTGAAGCACCATCAGCCAGAGCAGGCTGCCCAGGAGTATGTCTTGTCCAGTTTTGAGTATCCTTACAGAAGGAGACTTCACAAACTCTCTGAGCAACCTGTTCCAGTGTTTGACTACCCTCTCAACAAAAAACCATGTTCAGATACAATTTTATGTGCTTGAATTTTGTGTCTGGTGCTTCTGGTTCTGTCATTTGGCACACTAAGGAGAGCCTGGCTCCCTCTTCTTGATTCCCTCCTATCATGTATTTATACATGTTGATAAGAACCCCTTGAGCATTTTCTTCTCCAGGCTGAAGAGTCTCAGCTCTCTACCTCTTCTCATATGAGAGATACTTTTGCTATATTAATTTCTGTGTCATTTTTACTTACCTCTTGGTATCTTGTAACCGGTTTCCCCTGGTTTTCTCAAATTTCTGAGAATATGATCAGAATGAATATTGATTGCCATGCCGACCAACCACCCTATAAAACCTGAAGAGAGATATTGGCAATACTGTCTTGAGTACACTGAGCCAAAGCACTCATTCAGAAAACAAACTACAGTCACAAGTCACGTTAGGCATCTTGTCTCAAAGCATTAGCTTTGTTTATAGTAAGCACTATAAACAATTCTCATGACATGTTGCACAATTCAAGTCCCACACTGTGCTCTTCAGTCAGCAGAGCTCAGAGTAATCAACAACTCCCTAGATAGAAAACAGCACTGTGACCATGAAGTTTATTCTTATGTTGCTAGACTTATATAAATGCATGCATGGGCACATATGTAGGTGTAATGTGTATATTTCCCTAACATCCACATAGAAAAGTCAAAAATACTGAAGTTTTAAACACTGAAAGAGAAACCGCCATTCTCATTCCTCCCACAGGGACACAGCCCCACTCTCCATGTTTATAGCATTCACTGCTTCAGAGCATCATGGGCTCTCTTGGTAAGTTCATAAGCTCTTTACTGCTAAAAGCTTAGGAAGGTGTTCCCACTTTGGTTTGCAAACTCATGGTCCTGCATTTGAAGCAGAGCACCCCCATTTCCTCTGAAAACAGATGTATTCACTGCCCTGAACTAAACCAACACACAGTCCAGAGAAACCATGAGGGAATCACATCAGAACTGTATCCCTGTTCCAAATCAACAGCTGCTGTAGAATTACACTATTGCTTTCTCAGAGTTAACTCCTAAACACTCAAAACCAGACAGTCAATATACACAATAAGGCTCCACAAAGAAAGAACACATCAGTTGTTTGAAACCTCTCACCATGAGGGTTAATCAGCCTGTCTTCTCTAAATTTATCTCATTTCAGCTTTCCACTACTTGGTTGGTTGCTACTTGGAGACACTCATTTATCTTCCACATGTAACTTCATGCAGCTTAAAAAGTATCTTGTTAGCCCTCAGCAGATATGCTTTCCTGCTACTGTTATTTTCCTATATTCTAGTAATTTTTATTTTTAATTTTAAACAGAGGCTTAAAGACACTGCCAGATGTTTTTTAAGAACTAGAACATAATAGTCCAGCTGTTCAGGGAGTACCCAGTACATCACTTAGGCATTTGAGTTGACCAAAGCCACAAGCAGAAACTGCAGATAGTTGGAGGTACCTAGCTGGGATGAATACCAAGTAGCAATTATAAATATCCACTATGATCCAATTACACTGACGTGCACTAAAACACACACAAAAGAAAAAGCCCAAAAGATATTCTAGTTATAGGAATAGAAGAAAAAAAGTCTCATTTGGCTGTTTGATAGTCATGCCAAACTTTACTGATTTGTTGTACTAACAGTCTCTAAAGAGCCAGCAGAAGTGACACTATGAAAATGGTTGCCATGTGTACCAGGAGTCTTCACTTCCTCAGTTTTCAGGATAACTTTTTAAAGCCATATTTTGAGTATATAATCATACATTCCAATCTGGTATTATTTGGAAAACAAGCAAACAAACAAAAATGCCACAACAAAACACCCACAAATATCAACTAAATTAATTCATACATAGTACTCATAGCCAAATCAGGAGGAACTTAACTATTATTATTTATACACTTACATCTTCCAGAAATCTTTGAAACTCAGAAAAACCCCACAACAAACAAGCCCCAAAACCCCCTCAAGGAAATATAAGCAAGTCTTATTAACTTCATTTTTTTTTAAGATCGAGTAAGGAGGAATTGATTTATGGGTCCTTAATCATGATTTATTTACAGCACTGTATCAAGATACCTTTTGATTAAGGTACTAAACTAGGACACTGAAAAAGTCTGCTTGGCATCAGTCTTCAACAGCTTTGATCAACAGTGCTTTTAACCATTTTTTTTGCTGGATTCCAGTTTAAGGAGACTGGAAATTTGAAAGTATCATGAGAATTTCAAGTATACCCAGGTGCCTAGTGCCACTAAAGTCATTCCTTTGTACCTCAATTTCTCCATTTTTTGCACAAGTGGTCCTGCCTCCTTGGCAAGAGAATCTACTTTGATGTAAAAATCTTCAATCTTATAGGCATGACAGCATTTAGCACAGTGGTCCTCTATTGTCACCCAGAATAACACTATAATAAAGACAAAACCTTCTTTTTCTTGCTCTGAAGGGCTTGAGAAATCCAAGACAAACACTAGCTCACCCTGGCTTCAGAATAGCAACAAGAACTGTACTGGCTCACATCAAAGATCTACACAGCCCAGGACACTGCCTTTGACAGATAAGACAGAATAGTCGGCTTTATCTTCAGATGAAAATGATATTTCTGCAAAGATTTCATTAGAAAAATTATATTATGATTTTGACAGTAGACAAAAGCAGATATCTGGAAACAAAAACTAGGGCAAAGACAGTACTTTGTCACTAAGCATCTTAGACTTTTAATCATATCCATGACTTCAAATATAAATGTAACTTCACTTCCTGATTGGGAGTAAATGATCAACCCTTCCACCCCCTTCCTTGTGGGCCAGTTTTGTCCTCTGACAAAGCCTACCCCTATTATGAGGGTGGGTGGGTGAGTGGGTTGGTGCATGTGTGTGTGCATCATGTGTAAATACCCTGACACCAAGGACACGTGGCCTTAGCAGTGGTACCTGGGTATTTAGCATCTAGATATTCACTCTAAGAATGTGTTGACTTGTTTTTGACTGCACACAGTCAGTTTAACCTACATGTTACATGGAAAATCTGCTTTGTTTGTTCTAAACCTGCATGTTGCTGGTTCCATGCAAGGCTTCAAGTTTCTACATTGAAAAAACCCACATGACCCATATTTACTTCAGTGTCAAAAGAAGAAAGATGACAGTCAGCTCATCTAGCACTGACATTGTGGAAAGAAGTGTCAGTTCACAGCTCGAAAATAAAGCTTACAAGGCTTCCAGCTACACCAATAAGGGAATTAACTGCCAGGAGAGTTACGAAATGTCATTGAAGATTCTATAAAATGATAATAAAGGGCTGTGAAGACAAAGGAAAATTACACCTGATGTTACAACATGATTTAACTCACCTATAACGAAGCGTGGATCTTTCAACCAGCCTGGAGGGTATGTTACATAGTTGCTTAAGCTTCGGCCCTGCAAGTATCCATTGTAAACACAGAACAGAAAGGCTAACACAAAAGTGAAAAATGGTGTTGGTTTTCCTTGACGGATCAGAAGAGGAAATATGAGTGCCCTATAGTGAACAAGGAAGGAAAATGTGTTGTTTGAATAAGCAAAAAAGATCGCTTTGAAGTACAAAACTGTAACCCATAGTCCACACTACCCTACTTTTCAAATTCTCAGCACTAGTCTTTGATCCCGGTTCAAAAAGGACAGTTGCGCTCGGTTTAACACCTAAACGCTCGTTTTGTTGCCTAATTGGAATTATGAGATGACTCCTCTCTCCCCTTAAGACAGAAATTTTGAACTTTGTATCCAAGGCAATTACTCGGATAAGAGGAGTAATGCCAACTGATGTCACGCACAGCCTATTTTTGTTTTCTTTTGATACTTCCGAGGATTTAGAAACACCAGGCTTTCTGAAACCAGCCAGGGCTTAGGACCCCTACACCAAATTTGCCCAGGGAAAGTCCATCCCCTTGAAATTAAGTTAATTGAGCTCAGTTTCCTCCCTACTCTAAGAGTCACTTCAATTGCTTCACCTCAACAATTTTGGTGTACCCTATGACACCTGCTAAAGATGTGACAAACCCACAACTGACATTCCATTTAGGGAGGAATCTTGATTGCTTTTCCTGGGGGATTATGTGAGTAAACAAACAAGCTCCAAACAAGAAGAGCAGGTGAAAGAGCACAAGACCTTTCTCATGCAACTAGCCAACTCCCTATGGCTGATTTGATTGTAGTCTGTAACAATATAGGTGCGGATTACTGGAGCATTCTTCACGTGTTTTCTATCTACCCAAGGGCTACTGCTTCCAAGTAGCTTTCCAAAGGAGGCACAATCATAAGCTTTCAAAAAAAAGAGCAACAAATTCATTAATAGGACTACTTAAAGCACACTGCATTACAACAAGCAGAACTGAATAACAGAGATATCTTCCAGTTCACCTACAGAGGAGTCTCTCAGTCTGGCAATAGCAATAAGCAACCGGAAAAAAAAAGCTGCAGCACAGCTCAGCTTTCTGTATAAACCTTTGCCTCACATTCCTAGGTTTTCCCAGACATCAAGAATGAGTTAAAAATGGGTAACAAGGGAGTAAAGACACTGTGGTTTTCAAAATCAGCCACACGTCACATCCGTCTCCATCGTGAGGATGTGTAATACTTTCGGTCAAAAGCAGCAGCCTCTTGCAATAGGCACCGGAAAACAACAATGTATCAGCCGCACACATGGCTTAAAAGGAAGCTGACAAATCTATTGGTCTTGTATTCCTATGGTGGTGAAATTCGTATGGAGTATGACAAGCTGTCCATAACTTGAAGGGAGCAGCAAAATCTTATCCGAGCTCCAGGTAAGCTGCCTTCTCTAAGTATTTTTACAAAATACCCAAATACTGTTGACTACCCAGCAACACAGGGCACTCGGCCTCAGCTTTTCTAGTATTTTAACAAATAATCTAATACCCTGAGCTGGAGGAAATCACAAGGTTCAACGAACACTGTGTTGAAAGACATAATTCGAAATTAGCTAACGTTTCATAAAATTAAAATTATAGCAACACCCAGCGCTGAACTCTGCCTGTTGGAATAGTGTCCTTAAGAGAGCCTGGCTCAAGCCATTGCTGGAAGAGGAGTCGCCACGACAGGCACAGCTGCAGCACAGGGATGGAGCAGCACGCGGAGGGAGCACCAGAGCTCCCTTTCTATGCCAGAGCTCTGCACTGCATAGCACAGTGGCACAAAGCAGCCCGAGCATCACTGCACCACGGCTATTTCCTCAGCTCCCGTGAAAGCATAGTCTGTCTTAATGTAGCGCAGAGCAGAAAAGGCGCCAGTGCCTATGACATTAAGTAACAGACGTTAATCATCAGGAGAATCTCAACCACTCGGCCGGTGAGCAGCAGACAGGCGTTGCTATGAAAGGCT